GAGAGAGAGAGAGAGAGAGAGAGAGAGAGAGAGGGAGAGAGAGAGATACAGGAGGCTAGAAAGACCTAACAGAGGGAAGGTGGTGAGAGTGACTGGAAGGGTGTCGTCGGCAAGATCTATGTGAATCTTAGATCGAGATCAAGAATGATGGAAGTATTGAACGTGGATTTTTTCCTGCTGTGAATATATCTAAAGTCTAGAACTAGACTGTAGGTGAATCTAGATCGTGATAAAAAATCATGAAAGTATTCTTGAAAGTGGATTTTTCCTACTGTGAATAGATCTAGAAATCTAGGCCATCTGTGAAGCCTGTCGGTTGTTAAAAATGTGAATTTCTAAACTTAGATCTATCTATGGGCCAAGGCTCCTTCTTTCAATTATTGGCCTATGTCTTTATAATCCGTCGAGCTCTAGGCTAGATCTAGAATCTAGATTAGTTTCTTCTAGGAAGCAACAATTGGCATATAGGCCTAACTCTTCTTTAAAAAAGGTGATTGAGCTGGAACTTTAGGAGAAAATGCCACGCCTTTGAAGAGGGAGAAGAAGTCTTACCCCTAGAGGTAGTCAAGAGGGGGTGCTACATGGATAAATTAAAGGTAAAATATTTGTGTTTTGTTTCTTTCCTGTTTTCAGTCTTTTTCCTCTTCTTAACTTTCCTAATAATTCTTCATTATTATTCCGTTCGTAGAACGGGTACTTTTATTACTAGTAATAGTAATAGGTCTAGATGTATCGCCGGGGATGGAATTTAGCCGATGAAGGTGCACAGTGTGCAAGCCGGCCTTCCTCTGTTATACAAACCAAGACCAGATACAAGTACATACGTGTTCTATTTTTTTTTTTAAATTATCGTAGGCCTACCCCAAACATAGACCAACCCCCAGTCAGTTTTACTCTTTTTAGAACGTGCGCTCGTGCATCTTAATGTATGGAAAGGGGTGTTAAACTGTGTTACCCTGCTATTCATAACATAACATGTCGCCGGCAAACTGTTCAGATATACTATGCCCAATATTTTACCTTTTTTCATTGTGGTTTTTAAATTTTTGGTATCGGTTGCATGTGCTTTTAAGAAATATTTTGTCAAAGCTCAATTCTAAATACTGTAAAAAAAATTTTTTTTTAAAAAGCAAGAGAAAATACATGAGGGCATACATGCGAAAAACATGAGATGGTTCGCTTTTCCTGTTCTGAAAAATAACTTGCAAAAAAGAAACGGCAAAGCATGGTAAATCTGTATAACATAAAATCTCGCCAGCCGTTAATAAAACAACAATCAACAATACTAAGAAAGAACATTCAAGAGCTCTTTATTCAATCAACTTGAAGCTTTGGGTCCACCCTCCACATACAAAAGTAGGCCTACCCGGAAACAACAAGAAAATAAAGAATGACAACTTAAAGCAAATCAATAATACACGTAGTAACCAACATTATGCCCCCCCCCCTTCCCTCCCCTCGAGTAATAATGATAATAATAATAATAAGAAGAAGAAGAAGTAGTCTCCGTCTAAGACCCCACCGCTTACGATCCTTGTTCGGTTAAGATCCTGCTGTTTTAAGAAAACCGAATTTTTACTACACAAAAATCACGCCCTAACATCCCGCTTTGAAGGTCTACATTCGGCTAATATGTCGCATTTCAGACCATAATTTACGGAACAAAAACTCGAGCGGGCACGAAAGATCAACCAACAGTGAAATTGGGGCTCTCGCGGTCTAGACATTAATTCAAAGGTCCCGGGTTCGATTATGGGTAGTGACGGGAAATTTGTCTTCTCTAAAATTGTCTCCTTTCACCTCCTTTCCTTCTCTCTAGCAATGTTCTGTCGTCTTCTTTCGTCTTCACTTTCTGCCCCCCCCCTACCTCCTTTGCCTCCTCCTTTGGGCCCCTGACTCTTTCTTAAGCCTTTCTACTGCTACTCTTTGGCCCTTGGCTCCTTACTGCTGTCTTTCAGCCACACCCCTGATCTTCTGGTAGGAAAGATCAACACCTAGCCTTCTCGAACAAGAGCGAACAATCTCGGACGTCCCGTGTGCAAGTTGCGCACGTTTAAGATCCCTTGGTCAGAGATAGAAAGCTATAAATTGTGTACGGCTGAGGGGAGGAACAATTATTAGATCAGCGTAGATCTTGAGACTCACTATAGGATAAGTGAAAATGGCTTCTCATGCCACTGTACTGTGATTGGTCATCACGGTCGGCCACTCTGCTCGCCATAAGTCATAAACCCACCCAAGGGTCACGTCAATTCATTAAAAAAAAAAAGGGAGACCTCGGTTGTGGGCCTAAACATGAGTCACCTTGGTGCGTCGGCTAAGTTCAGATCCCGTTCGCCTAAGATCTCGCATTTTCCTTGCTCCCGAGCACCTGTATCTTAGGCAGAGACTACTGTATATTGTCATGTACTTTGATGATTATGATTTTATAACTAATAATAATCATCATCATCATCATCATCATCATCATCATCATTATCATCATAATAATAGATCTAATCATAATAATAATATGATTGTAATACTTGTATCAATATCATACATCTTATGACTATGGTATATGGCATCAATTGTATAATAAATAATATGTCTGCAAATGAAAGAAGGTTCAGTGCGCTTATCAACTTTTTTTATTACCTGGTCAGACCCTGTGCTACATCTGTAACATTCGAAAACATTGTCATCATTTTCATGCCGAGAGTGGCAGAGAACAGAAGGATGGGGCACAGAAGAGTAGCATCCAGGTCTTTTTATTAAAACGCTCAAGCCCCCCTCCAAAAAAAAAAAAAAAAAAAAAAAAAAAAAAAAGATCTATATATTTATTTATATATACAATACATGTACTAATTTAGTTATCTGGGGAAGCATTTAATGCAAGCTCACTTACATTCACATCACAAACGCCGGTCGTCCTCAATCTGTCATTTGGACTGTAGGTATCAACTCGATTAAAATTCTCCCAAATCAGGAAGTGGAAGCAAACTCGGGTTTCCTATGTGCAACGGCAAAAGCTCCTAACCGCTACATAAAGGACAGACGCTAGTACAAAAATATAAAGCTCTCTATGATGTTACATTGTTACAAATGTCAGCCATTGCTTTGTCCACCTGCTGGACAAAAGCTGGAAACGAGGGGTCAGCCAAGCAGAGATGGAGCAGTCCAGGGATGAGGGCAGGCTCCACAATACTGCTCTGGTAGGCCCGCGGCATTGTCTCTTGGGAAAGCAGCGCCTGTGTGTGAGCGGGGTGGAAGGATTGCGGGGTTCAGGGGATGGGGGTGGTGGAGGGGGAGAAGGGGTTTGGGTGGAGGAGGGGAGAAGGGGTTGGGGTGGTGGAGGGGAGAAGGGTTTGGGGTGGTGGA